CTTATCAGATGGCTATTTACCGTAATAATAACGATTTGCATAATACGAAGATGACGCGGCCTCTTTGCGTAAACCGCTAGCTTCGACTTTGAGGCTAAATAATACGTTGGCAGCGTGAGGCGGGATCCGCCCCAAACAAAATGCAGAGTTAATTTGCATAATAATTACAGTTCGACACAACATGCCTTTGGTCTTATAGGATCCGAAGCGTCTTATTGTTAATGTATGCGGCGTTCACGTGTATATAGGAAACTACATATTACTTGCTCACTTCGTTCCCATCCATCGGACTAACATACACACTTTCGCGTTGATGACTGCGACTTAATTTAACGAACAAAACATATAAGGTAGAATTACTTAGAGTAGTTACTTAGATTAGATTTTCCTATCTCGGAATGAAATTTGTTCAATACTAATAAACGTGTAGCTCCACGAGTTCAGAGTTAAAGTAGGGTATCTCCAAAAAGCATAAATGAGAATTTAGAGAGAAAAAAAATCAAATAATGTGCATTTTTTATGTGAAAACTTGGCAAGCAAGCAGGCGGTTCACCCGCCTCCGTGTACATTTGCAACACCCGAGTTGATACAGATGAGTTACCAAACTTCAAAAAGTGGAACCCTGCTACCTCACTCCCTAGACAGAAGCTGCTGCTAGGTCTCACCAAATACATATCTATACCTCTGAATTACAGACGTAGTTACGAGTGCAAAGTGTATATTGAGCGAGAGTATAGTAGAAACATTATAAATAGTTTTGATTGCATGGCTTGAACTAGTGATGAATGATTGAGGAATATTCATTTTAAGTCGCGGGCAACCCCTGGATGCAAATGGCAAAGTGTCATTCGTTGTGGCGCTCTAATGGCGAGGCACAAATGCCTCTCCATAACGAAGCATCAACAGTGGACAATGATGGTGAAGATTATGATGAATTTTATTGTTTGATAGTGAGCTTAAAAGTGAGGAAAGGAGGCTTTCGTTAATTGTTTATAATAATGTAACAGTGTGAGGAGTCTACTGCCTACCCTTCTACGTGGCAGGCGTGTTTGTACGGAAATTGTCCGTTTATAATATCGTATCGTACCCTATATAATAACAGCTTGTATGTAAGTATGAAGATTTACCTCTTTTCATTAATAGAATCAACATGAAAGAGCAATTGTTTGATATTCAAGCACGCGATTAATTAATGTAAAAAGCCGTACAAGGAGTTATTACTTGCTCATTACACTCCCCCGCTTTATTCACCACCACAAAGGAGTCGAATAAAAATACGCTAACGGCCCCACATTACAATGTACATATTGCCCGTATTTCAAGATAAGGGCCTGCCTGCTGTGGCGCTGTATTTTCTTTTTTTTTAACAAAAGAATGAATGAAAACTGAGCCTTGTATGAGTGAGTATTGGCTGTTTAATGTGATGTCTATGAACGGAAAAGTTTTTTTTTTCTGATATGTTGTCGTTTGTCTTAAAAGCATTTGTCAGTCTTTGTTTGAGTTATCTAATGTAGTTTTACACTCAGACACTAGGAATAAATAAATATTTTACGACACATTTTAACACAACCTTCTTTAGTCCCAAACTAAGCAACGCTTGTACTATGGGTACTAGATAACTGATACACATACTTAAACATACTTTTCTTTTATAATTATATGCATATTATACATATATAAACTATGTACACCTAGACACTAGAAAAACACCATATGTTCATCACACAATATTTTTTCAGTTGTGGGGACGGAACCCACACTCTCTGGCGCAGGAGGCAGGTACACTACCCACTACGTCATTCGGGTCGTCATGCTAAACGATTATTATCTTATTAACGGAATGCTTTTGGTGTGTCGGTAGTCGGTGCCTCAAATCGCTACACTTATTCGTATAATTTACTCACAAAAGGCCCGCGTGGAGTGGAAGTAGTTGTAGCCGAGTGAGGTAGCCGGGACCCACTATTTTAGGCAGTGGCAGCGCAACTGCAAGGCCTCCATGTAAATCTCCGTAGGCGGCAATACTCATTAAACAACAGGTGAAGCAACTGCCCGTTTGCCAGTATCAAAGCTAACTCTTTGTTTAGCTCGTGCTCATAAGATACAATACAGGTGTAACCACGCATCAAATTTGGTCGCATTGTTCTTGTCGAAAACAATTTACGACAAAATTTTGCTTACAAAAAATATCTTGTGTGCTCCATGATTTACCTTCTCTTTTAATTACATCGAAATCAGTACATTTGCAAGAAAATGGTGTATACAAACATATATAGAAAACTTACGATTTTGTCTCTGATTTTTAAGGTCAATAAATCGTTAACATAACATATCATACTTACCGAGTAGTTTGTGAAGTGTAGTGTTGCATACAATGTACATTTTTATATAATAAAGCTATGCATTACCGATTCTTAATAATATAGCGAAAAACGTATAATTACTCGTTGTGTAATGATTTCAGTTATAAATATGATGCTATTGGTATTAATAGAATCCTCCGTCTCCGCCTGCTTAATGCCATATCTTCCCGTATTATTCCCCGCTTTGAACCTTTCTACTTAAAGACTGAGCGCTAATTGCTTTTAAAGATATTTGTGGGCACTGTTACTATCGTATTTAAACTATTTTGTGTACATATTGCTAAACTGTTTTCTGTACATATTGGAGAAGGCATCTTTCATGCAAACCACTTTTAATACACTTTCTTTTTATAAGCGTATACACGTATAAATTTTGGAGACTTTGGGTACGCAATAAGTTAGAAGGATCCTCAATTGTACCCATAAATATTTCGTTAATATCTCTGGTTACCAACCTAGTGTTGTAAACATTCCGGACAGTGGTCCTAACACTGGATTAAAAGTTCGGTTAGTTGCCATATCTCATATCAGTTTTTAGGTTATTTAAGAGACATTTCTATGGCTTCTATTATTAATAACTTTCATTAACCCCCTTCTGTTGTTACCCTTGGTGGAATTGCAAAACATATTCACACGCATTATTTATAGAATTGAGACAAAAGTGACACGTTGAGTTCCTCGCTCGCATTAATTACTCGAAGGCCCAAAGACTCGCGTCTCGTTAAAACGTTTCCCTAACAAGATCATCGTGACAGTACCACGTGTCAAAACATTGTCACACACGGCATGCCGATGCGATAACAAAGTGATGCAGCGATGCTCGGCGCATTTAGACTCTTTGAACACGACCCATTACTAACGCATTTATTGCTTCAGCCGTAATGCGACATCGTTGACAGACGAATGACGCCTTTATTCCTACGAAAGCATGTTGACGGCGATGGCACAAGTAAATTTGTCTTCATTTTCCACTTAGCAAAGCGCCCGGGGATAACGGTGCAAGGAAAACTGAACCGTACAGTCGTGTCATAGTGCCGAAATCGAGTGCGGTTTCCTGAGGAACATCTAACGCGCACTTAACGTCGCATTGTATCCGTCTGACTGTCTGTCTGTTCGTCTATGACAAATTACTCGCTCCCATGCGATTAATGGACCCGTGACGAGCTGTGGATTTACGGTGCAGGGAGATAAAAGACGCTACATTGAATGTATGTAAGTATCCGTTAGCTAATCAAAGCACGGGTTTGTTTTACGACACCGACATTTGTATGAAGACGATATCTATGATCATGATGTCGATCAGTTTGTCTAACATAATTATATTGCTTAATATGAAATATATAAATTTCTTAGCAAAATTTTTACAATAGGTCGAGGTGAAGGTCTATTTTAAAGACAAGGGATTTTCATTGCACGGTACATTTAAAGGGTTAGGTTAGGTTAGGTTAGGTTACATTTTCTGTCCAATGTGAACAGCACGCTAAGGATAAATTAATAATACCAAAATGATGATTAATTAATATAAAATCGTTTTCGATTTACAGCTGTATCAATTTACACAAATTAAATCTTTGCTTTGAAATTAATTAGATTTCTTTTATGTTTTTCATTTAATGATACTAAAATGTCAACATTTCTAAAAACGTGATTACTTATGCATACAAAATTTATATAGGTACTGGTACTATGACTAATATGTAGTATACGAGTTGGCCAAGGTATCATGAAAATGTATGTGAATCCACTTCCATAGTTCCTTGATCCACAATTTATTAAGAATTAACATTGATAAAAAAATGAACTGCTTTACGTTAAAAATCTTCTTTAAAACAAACTTCATATTATTTTTTTAAAACCGGTATACAATAATATCTTATTTTCTAACTTCTAAAAACTACTCCTGGTAAAAGCTAATGATTCTGCATAACATTTTTATTAATAACTTACGCCCGGTTTGTAAAACACTGATCATCGTAAATTTATTTTAATTCTGATCAATCCAAAGAGTTAATAAAAAAATCATACATTTCGCAATTCAAATGACATTTGATAAGCCATTTGACAGCTGATTAGTTAATTTATACTATGATCAGTGTTTCAGAAACCCGGCGTTAGTGTTGCAAATTAGTGACCATTCATTCTGGACCAAAACAGCGAAATAAATTCGACAATTTCCATTATCTTAACCATCCCAACTTTTAAGCGTAACTTTTTTTTATTAGGTAAACCGACATAAACAATAGTGGTAAGAAAAAGTTTTAATAAGCAAAGATAATTTAAAATACTAATATATTAAAATTTGAGAAAAAGTACAAAAAGATTGTCGCCGCTGTGGGAATCGAACCCTCGAGCCTTGCTTAAATGCCGAAGCTAAAGCCACTAAGTTAAACGGCTGATTGCCACACTGGCGAAAATCTTAACATCTTTTATCTACATTGTTTTTTTTAGTATTTGAAGCAATGTTTGGCGCATCCATTGTTATTTCCTTTCCAGCATACAAACACTTTTCGTACTTTTACTACGTTTCTACAAATTTAGTATTTAATCTTAAGAGCAGAGATTACTGTATAAAAAAAATTAAATATTAATATGTTTTAAGTAAATTTATTGAATGAAAAATATTGGCTATAAAAGTAATTATTTGAATTCCTCGTAGGACGTTGACATTTCCCTGCTCTCTTTCGATGAGGTTGACCTTGAGCCGTCGCTGGTGGAGTCGCCGCTTATCTCCACTCTGTACTCGTAAAAGAAGTGGTCGCCGTGTGGTTGTGGGTCACCGCGGCTGTCGTTCTTGCACCGACCCTTATGGATCTCCACGAACACTAGCAAAGAGTATATCAGAACAAAATCATAAACGGAGCCATTGTTGATCATCACTACACAGTATAGTATAAAACAAAGTCATCCCGCTGTCTGTCTGCCCCAATGTATGCTTAGATCTTTAAAACTACGCAACGGATCTTGATGAGCTTTTTTTTACTAGATAGTGTGATTCAAGAAGAGGGTTTATATGTATAATACATTGCACCAGTGCGAAGCCGGGTCGGTTCGCTAGTAAATTATAAGAATAATTCCGAGTATTTAGATATACAGTTGTTCCAAAGTGCTTCAGAATACATCAGCTTTAATAATTTATTTATTTATTGATTGTTCTAAGAGCTGAATCGGTGCTTGCTTATGTCTCGAAGAAAAGTTTAACATCATCCGTTACAAATGTGTGTTCACTGATCTACGCTTGAGTCGTCAAGCAAACGAATCAAACAATTTTGATATATATATATATTGTGTGCGTACTATATTGTATTGTCTACATGTAGATATAGCAGAGAAACCAAAGTGCTGCAATAGTATGGACATCATGAATAACAATGAGGGTTTTGACATCGAAATGAAAACCGATTATGAATATGAACATTGGAACTAGTTCCCAGCCCTCAGGGAGCACAGAGTCTGCATTTTGATTAAAAACTTTTTATTAATCAAAATGCAGACACGATGGACGGTTTGCGACTATATTTACAGGGTACTAGACATTGTTGAAATAATATCTGGTAAACAGCTGAATTATTTTTATTGACTGCTGGTCAGTCAAGGACTAGTTATTTTTTTCAAATGTCATACACTAAATGGTAATTTTCTCGAATGTTACAATGAAGACTCCTAATAAAGCTGAATTCACTTGAGTGTCTTTTCCAACTATAATCAATTGATTAAAATGTTATAAATACAAATAGGATACTAGCGCGGTAAATTAACTCAATTTGTTACAACTGCCACTTAAAATTAAAATCTGACATATTTTAATCATAACAATCCATTGATTACTTGTCCCATCCTGACAGTTTCTGTAATGCATCATGCATTCACTCTTGAAGCTGCGACGTGCTCGCTGGTAAGCGCCGCATATCCACTTGATGCTGGGATCTCGCCATTTCTTCACCATATCTTCCGGGCATTTAGGACATTTACGGTGCCATTTTCTCCTGTTAATGATTTAAAATTAATATTTGAATTCATTGATCCGTATCTTGTTTCAAGACACTTACGAGGATTAATTTACCTTGAAATCTATCGAACCATCGTTTAACTTATCGATCTCTTGTTCCTATTGAACTACTAAACATGAAAGCAAGCCTTACCATCCCTTCCTTTCGAGACTAGACTTCGGAGTTACACGTTTTTTTTTCACTTTGAACAAATCACTCGATGATGAATCGCTAGACACAGACATTTTTAGACTTTCCCCGCTTTCTTCAGAGGAGGTCCCTAAAAGTAATTTATTATTAATATGGTGTTCTTAATTTTCTTATACATTACAAATCATGGCAAGGACGTGAACAAATTATTATGAGTTTATGATCTTCCATGGTATTTACGCGCATGAACATAATTATTAGATGCTGGGGTTAGAAAATTACCAAGTAATAGTTATTTTAAAGTTTGTTCTTTATAATAACGGTATTCAATTTCTCACTTTTCTTCTCTCTAGAAGAAGATGACGTGGATCTGCTTTTCTTCTTTTTTTTCAAGCGCCTTCTGGTTTCAAGTTTCTTAAGATCATTGTTGACGTTTGCCAGTGTCTTGTTACCCATTTCCTTAACGAGCGCATCAGCTACGACGGCTGTAAGCGTGTATTAAGTTAATAGATTTATGCGATTTATTGGATGTGATTTGATAATTAGGCGAGCAGTGTTGTAAACGAGTTCTCGGCTGATACTCTGGCAGAAGTTTTAACAATAAACGTCTTTATTTGGTGTTGGAGCGAGAGATTCATGATATGGGTGTTAAATTAGGAATTAACCAAGGTGCAAACATTAATAAAGGAGTCGTTATTAATTTTCAGCTAACATGGCAAATGTATAAATTTGAAATATACGGCGCGTGCATATTGTGCTTGTTCACGAAATAAACAAACAGTGACTGGAAATAAATAAAAGCATATTCATCCGAACGCTGATCGGAATGAATAAAACAAATTGAATCTCGCTGGAAGCAGTTCCCGTTTAAAGTAATTCGGTTAACATACCCAGGGCAATGAAAACGATTATCTGGACAGTTAACAGCCGCACCATTGTCCAACTTTTGCATCGAAACGTTTGCGTATCGTTTCATTCGACTTCGGATATTTCTGAGCGGAAATCGTAAATCCCGTCGGCCAATGCGTTTATCGGTGTATTGATTTTTATGAATTTGCGAAACTCTCGCGGAGTTGTGGCGTCACCCTTTGCTCGTTCGCTTTTGTTTCCAATATCGCATCTCGTTTAAAATTCCGTTGTAAATATTCGATAGCTGACGACAGATTTTCATACTTATCTTTCACTTGGCTGTTATTAATTTCGGAATGTGGAATATTGGCGTCTATTTCCATTATTCATGTGCTCTTTTGCTCTTTGTCTGTATCGATAATTGAATTTTACCCCGATTTTGGCAGTCTTTTGTGGCCCTATTTCGTAAATTGTAAATACGTATGACGGATTTTTACAAATTGGTCTTTTAACATTTTTAAGCACAAAAAACATGCTTTTAATTGTTCTTTTTGATATTGCGATGTAATAATCAATTTCCAACCGACTTCAAATAGAAGGTTTTTAATTCGGTTGTGTTTTTTGTGTTTAGTGCCTCAGAATCCGTCATTTGTGAATAGATTTTAAAAATTATTTGTGCATCGGGTTCAGCTTAGCCTCTATATTAAATTCATTGGTACTGGATCTTGATTCCGGAGACACATCAGGAGCTTTTCAAATCAAAAACAAAATTAACATTGAGGGAGATATTTGAAGTTAGTTTAGTTATTTTTCTAAACGCCAATGAGCAACCAATTTGCATGAATCAAGCAGGGTATTGGTACATTTTATGTAAAAAGTAAAGTAACAACCAATATATATGTTTCACTGCTGAAGCCTCCTCTGTGCAGAGGGTATTAGGGCATAGTCCACCACGAGGCCCCATTGCGGATTGGCGGACTTCACATACCTTCGAATTTATTTTTATTACTGCGAAAATAATCAGCTCTTAAATTAACAATTTCATTGGTGCCGTGATAGCTCGTTGTGAACTGAGTTCATTTTATGTCGCTCTGTCTAAATATAATTTCAGTGGAGTCGATATACATTTGCCGGTGACCTTTACGTGGGTTAGGTGTAGATTTATCCAGACTTATTAACTTTAGTAAACCAGAATGTAACAAACAGACAATATCGCTTGCTAATGCGCTCTTCTAATAACATTTTAGTATTCCCGACGGCCGTGGCGCGGGAAATTGATTGTCCACCCGATTTGTGTTGGCCATGTATTATTTATCGTATCACTTCCAACACGTTACCTTTCTGCGTAATTTAATTTTATATTCTCCGTATCGCTTGTGTATTGCTCGGCCACCTTTCATTGGGACAGTGTGCTTGCAAGATCACAGATATAGCATTAAGTACGTGACGTTAATAATCTTTGAAGTATACTTCGAGGGACCCAGCTAAATATTTCATATTTTTGTGTGCGTATTGATATCATCGAATCTAGTTTCATCATTAATAAAGCAACGATTAGCTAAGAGCTTTCATTTATACCGCAGGTTTAATGATTTTATTTTTGATTTACATGTAAAAGGTTTCATGTAAAAGGTTCTAACTTATACATTTATAATTGTGACTAAACTTTATAGATGTAGAACCAATGTCGTCCGTGATACGTATCGTTCTTGCAGCGGGCATCCGACACCTTTACGAACACTGCAACAAAAAGCAAACAAGATTTTAAAGGAAACAGTAGATTTTAAGCTCTCTAGCTCCCTAGCTTTAAAAAAATACAAACAAAATCAGCTAATCTCAAAGAACAAACATTTTACACTAGTGAAGTTGAAGAGTTGTACTTTTGCGTTTCGTCTGTTGATTGAGTTAATTAATATTAGTTAAATTAAATATAGTTAATTGAGTGGCTTTATATAGGTGACAAGCAAGCTGGCGGTTCACGTGATGTTAGCTTCCCATCGTCTTACATAAAAAAACTCCAATAACTTGGTTGGTAGTTTTTCTGGTGTCACATCAAGATGGTATGGTAATTTTCTTACGAACATTGTATAAATTTGACGTTTCATAAGAACGCGCAAGCATCTATTTGAACAAAGATATTTTGAGTTTTAGTCTGAAGATCCTCGGCACACGTACTAGTTCCATCCTGGCAGTTCCTGAATCGCATCATACACTCGCTCTTGAAGGTGCGCCGCGCGCGCTGGTAGGCCCCGCAGATCCATTTGATGCCGAGATTCGTATGTTTCTTCAGCATGTCGTGGGCGCACGGTGTGCACGTGCGATAGACACGGGTTCTGTTATGACAAAGGCGTTGTATGTAAGGGATTACTAATGCCCGGTTTCTGAAACACTGATCATCGTAGAAGTCAACTAATCAGCTGTCGAATGGCTTTGCAAATGTTATCTGATTTTCCAAAGGATTGTTAAACTCTCGCTAACTCAAAAATTTAAGTGATAGTATTTTTATGTTTTAATTGTGCACTTACGCTCTCTTTTCTTCGCTGGATTCTATCGAGGAGGCACTTTCAGTTTCGCTTCTGCTTCGCGACTCTGTAGAGGCAGAGCTGAAAGATGTAGAGTTACTCGTATCTTTAGGTCCATAAATGTGGATTGGCTTGTTTCGCTATCTTTATTTATTTATTTATTTATACTTTATGCACACAAAGCTTGTACAGAGGACTTCGTGCCATCATCATTATGTACCAATCAGTAGTTTGGGTGGCTCAGAAAAGTTTAAGTAGGTGCATTGATTATAATATGAAAAAAAAAGAGAGATTATTGAAAAATCAAATTAGATAAAGATAATTTAAAAAATATATACTAGGCATATAAAAATAATGAAAATTTGATTTTAATTATTTTTATATGCCTAGTACAACGGCAATCAGCCGTTTAGCTTAGTGGCTAAAGCATCACGGTGCGGATCTCGATCAGAGGCGTGGGTTCGATTCCCACAGTTGAACGATATTCTATAAAGCGGCTTCTATGAAAATTGTGATAGTGACTTAATATATTTAGTTTGAATCGACTTGTAAAACCAAAGCATTTCCGATCTTTATCATGTCGATCACCGTCTCAAATTTGTTCCAAGCGATGGACTCTTCTGACAATTTTGGGAAAAATGGTTGATAAGTCGTTGATCTACAGCTGTCTATGCCCAATAGTTGGGTTATAACAAGTGTGAAATTGTGTGTTACCTGGTCGACTCACTGCTAAAGTGTTCCGGTGAGGTTTCAGACTCCTCGGAACTCATGGAGTACCAGTTGGGGCCCCGATGCTGCGCATCGCCGAAGCCGGCCGCAATTTTCAAATCGTCCAAGTGCTCCAATTCGTATGGAGTCACCCCTTCCATTCTCTGACATTGCGATACTAGGGAAAAAAAAAAACACCCGAAACTTTGGAATGAAAATTTCCTTACTTATATAAACATCGATAAACTTTCAACAAAAAATAAAACAGGAGCTAAAACTCCTGTTTAACAAACTCGGGCAATAGTCGTTATGCACAGACTAATAGAGCTAGGAGGAAAAAAAGGACGCCTACAATTTGAACGGGCATTAATGATTAATGAGCTTTGAGCTTTGGTTTCAGAAGACGTTAAGGTACAATTCACAATACCGCAACCCGTTCCTGCACCATGCGAGGCTTCATGAAATCACGGGTCCGCAACACCTCGCGCATACATTTGAATTTTAATCCGTGCTCAGCCAAGAATGCAGACTTATGCGCATAATATCCAGTGGCAGCGGTGCGAGGCTGCGACGGGAATTGTTGGAAATCTCCCTATAAACCGCTTATGCCAATAGCACACTACTAAAATTCAGCTATAATGAAGCAGCAATGTACCATTATAGCGATGTATGTGTCTGACTGAGCGTATATGTATATTTTATGCTCACTACTCCCTGGCCTTTTTTATGTGAAAAGTTGTGAAGCGAGCAATTGCTCCACCTGATGTTAAGTAATTCATCCGACAATGGACATCTACAACACCCGGTGGTTTGCAGATGCGTTGAAAACCTTTAAAAAATTGGGCCCCGGCTACCTAGCTGAAGGCACAAAACGCGAATGTTTAATGTCTCCACATTAAGCCGGTCTTCTGTTGGGCCGTGTTTCTTTCCCGGACGCGCCTGCCCTTTCGTGCAAAAGCATTGCGTGGCTCTGCCATATTAATACTGCCTCTTCAGCCCCTATATCCATAGAGAACGGAGAGCAAGTTTTAGTTCATAAATCATCTCGTTTTATGGTCTGAAATTTTTGCGGACATTGCGCAATGTTAATTGAAGCAAATTTTTACGGATTTGTGGCGTTTACTTTACATTAAACTTCGAAATGTTTTCCGCATTTTTTTGATTCCATGCTCTGATGCAGATAAATCCGTAGAAAATTGTTCTATTTCATTACAATATTATTATTAAATCATTAATAGTTTTTATAAGGCCCTAAACCGAAATATTAAAAGAATGTTTTAATAAATCGAGTCTTCAATTTAGATCACATGCTTACTTCCTTACTACCCATATGTAATATTATAAACCTGAAAGATTGTATGTATGGATGGATGTTTGTTACTCTTTCACGCAAACACTACTGAACAACACATAGGCTATAATTTATATGCATATTTTTATATATATCTGTCTTTCAGTCTGAATGTTACGCTTTCAGTCTATTCTACGCAGACGTAGTCGCGGGCAGCAGCTAGCAGCTTCTATAACCTAAATCGACATAGAATATATTATATTTATATTTAATATATTTACATTATATTATTCTCATTTTTTTGTATTTCTATGAAAAAGATAAAAGCTGAGGCTCCCTACAGGGTCGAAATTACAATGAAATCAAGCCAAGTCTAGACACATATACAGTAACATATGTTTGTATTACTTAGTGTACAATACACTTACAACCGAAAGCCGCGAGCGCTATGAGCAACTTGGCCATTTCTGCATTTCACGGAGACTCCTTTTGTGTTCACATAGCGCCGCTCCGCCGCAGTTTCTACTCTCGGCGGATATAAAAACACACCGATATAACTTTAATGGTTATTGTGTTGTTAAAGTGCCCAGCCGGCGTTTTCACGCGATAAATCTCAAATAGACGTTTACGCCCAATGTTGCTCCGAAGTAGAAATATCACGTTCACGGCTAACAATGACGTTTGCGTCTTTTATCTTGCTCCTCTTTCGATGTATTTTGAGGTTATGTTATTGTTGTATTATCTACTTAGGATCTTTTTTACAGTTCTGATTGAAACAACTGCATTTATCGCATCGTAATACTTTTTACAATAAATTTTGTTGATAAACGAATCTAATTTAACTAGATTCTTCAATTTAAATGACACTGAGAGTAGAGTTGCTCTTGAGCCAGCTAGTGTTATTATGCTATTTACTAAACAATTACTTCAATACAAAATAAGAAGTAGTGATTTAAGGAATGTATAACGTAAGTAGCAGAAAAGCTCTTCGCTTGTAATTAATTAAAACACTAATTTCGTGCCTCAATTTTTATTCACATATATAATTTGCCATCCGTGAAGCGTGCTTTGTCTTTGCTGTACACACAAATAAAAAAAAAGAAACTTAAATCACATCATATTCCATACTGCTCGCCATGTTGTTAACAGTTGTTTGAATATTGAAGTTTACACTTGATCTTCATCGCGATTTTCATCCTCGAAATTAGCTGTAACAAAATGAATAATTTTATTACATTATTTAATAATAATGTTGGAATTAAATTATTTATTATGTGTAGGACGAAACTATAACCGACAATAGAATAGAATAGACGTAATAGGATCCGGAAGAAACATGTATTTCTACGCAGTAAAATCGTGTCTAAATATTTAAGCTGTAAGGATCCTTTAATAAAACCCCAAAACTGTCAGATACGCGTTATTGATTGACCCTGATAACCTTTTTAAGTAATGCACATATCTTAAAAAGCCTTATTATTTGTTTTGGTAGAAAAACTCACTGATAGTGTAGGGATTGTTAACAGAAATAACGTGTTAAATTAATTATTTATTTGCTAGTGATGGTTGCAATGATAATAATTTCACCAATGCAAATTACTCGTCTTAAATGATTTTCACAAAAACAACTGTTGTTGGTACCCACTTAAGCAAACACTAACTTCTTATGACGTGTTCACATTAGATGTTTCTCTTGATATAAACTCAATTAAGGCTTTTAACTTCTTACGCGCAGGGAGTGCCCAAGCAGACGGCACTAAGGCTTCCGCCGTCGTCCAAGATGCAGTAGCAAGCCTGACAGTTGTGGTGATACTTATCACCGATGTACTTGCACAGCCCGCGCCCTAAAGATTCGTGCTATAATTTAACTGCTATCGGACCCCTTTCACTTTCGTTGGACAATTTGGATAATTAATGTGTATTTAGTGTCATATTTATATATTTTCTAATGTAATTGAAACACATCAACCTCTCTAACTCGACGAACAGTTGTCACAAACCTCTGTACAACTGATTTTCATGGAATACAAAGTAAAAACATAATTTACGATAATAACATTTCATTTTCACAGCTGCCCTAAAACGAGGCGTTTTGGTAAGAATTTTCTGATTATTTTCTGTTCTAATGTCAACGTATAAGAGACGTGTTGACCTGCGGCTTTCTATTTTCTGATTTAGGCCACATTACATAGTACGGCCCCCTTTGGGACCGTAGGAAAATATGAACTGGAAGCCTGGCGCCGAGAAAATCTTTTTTCTGATGCCGCAGGTTGTGTACGAAAAAAAATCCAATATGTAGTGAGCCCGACCAAGGGGATTTAGCGAAAGTTTGATTAAATGGATTTACATGAGGCCCTTATAACGGCTGCTGTTATAATTTAAAAGCATCAAGTTATCACTATTCGTTATAGATCTTAATTTATTGTCAATTTGTAATTATTGACAAATATTTGGATTCTGTCATGATTCATATTATTAAAATGTGACGATATGATGTATATTATTAGTGATTGGAGTGAAAAGTTTATTGTTGCTTACCGGATTTTATCAAAGTTCGCCCTGACTGAGCTGAAGCTTGGACTACACTCTGTGCACCTAAAATTAGAGGTTAAATTAGCGTTGTCACGTTTGTTCATCGCCCCTGTTTAATAGAGCTTTTCTTTTAGTGATTCAGAGTTATAGTTAAATGATGTATAAAGGTCCTAGAAACCCAATCGTTGATACTTATATGATTACATACGATAATACTACACATTATTAAATTAATGCTTCAGCTTCCGCTCGAACGAGATAAACTATTCGCGGTGAATTTTTTTTTTGACCTTTCTGCGCATGAACATGAACACTGCAAAACATTCGCAACGTCGGGCATTTAAGTTTTTTTTAATTGAGAAGGTGGCAAGCAAGCTGGTGGTTCCTGATGTTAATTGATAACCGCCGGCTATGCACTGTTTTCAACACCAGAAGGGTTGCAGATGCATTGCCACCCTTTAACACACCGAAACGCAGAAGTACAACACTTCCACGTCACGTCGGGCTTCTGAGAGGTCTTGGTACTTACCCAGACGGACCTGTGAATTCGTGCCACAGTCGAAGCTGTTACGTGGCCCTACCATAGTTACGTACTACAGTTAAATAACACGCGGTTATTGCGGAAAAATAGTTTCATTGAACTTATTTAAAACAAGTTTTACTTAATTGAGATTAAGATCCTTACTTGACTGTCCGTATCCATCTGCGGTTGCAACTGCTTGGGCTTGAGCTTGTGCTGAGTTTCCTGACGAAGGCTGATACGGATTCATTTGTCCTCCTAATCCAGCATTTGCTATCGCTTCAGCTTCCGCGTTTGCACTAGATAAACTACTTCCGGGGTGGAAAGGAAATGAGTTCGTATACGGTGAGTAATTTAATAGATTTGACGAAGCTTCGGATAACGCATTAGAAGATGCATAGGAATTACCTGGTGAATTTGGGAATAGGACGCTTGGATATTGCATGGGTTGACTATAAAGCGAATTTGCATTTGCTATGGCTTCAGCTTCAGCGAACGATGTAGATCCTGAGCTATATGGACTAAGGGATGGGCTATACTTGTTAGCATTAGCTAACGTTTGGACCTGTGACAATCCGCTGGAATAGTTGGGTTGATATGATTGTAGATTTGGATATGACTGATAAATTAACGGGTTTAACCCTAGACTATTGACAGCGTCAGATTCAGCTTGAGCTGAAGCAGATGCTCCAGAACTTGGATAATATCCTAAAGCATTTGCTATCGCTTCGGCGTTTGCAGATGCGCCGTTCTGAGATGAAGGGCTAAGATTTGGGTTTTGACCGTATAGTAAAGGAGATAAACTCAAATTGGCATCGCTTAGAGCCTCTGCTTCCGCTAAAGCTGCTGTTGATGGCCTAGTTAGGTATCCAGGTAAATAACTGGAAGATAGACCGGAGTTAGCATTGTTCATTGCATCTGACTCTGTCATTCCTGAAGGCAGTCCATATTGAGTTCCTATGTTAGAATATGGTTGATAAAGGAACGGGTTAGCGGAATTACTAATGGTATTGGCTTCAGATGACGCTGATGCTGAGGACCCTCCATATAAACCTGAATTGGTTTCTGATTCAGCCAAGGCAGATGTTAAACTCGGCTGATAAGATAATCCTAGACTTGGGTATAAAGCAGGGTATGAATTTAAACCGTTGATGCCACTGGTAGCTGCATCTGCGTTAGCTAAAGCTGATGCTGAACTCCCGGGAACAATATTAAGACCTGACAAAAATGGGTTATAGCCTGAGTTATATCCGGAATTTGCATTAGCAATTGCTTCAGATTCAGTTAAAGTTGAGGTCAAATCGGGTAAATAACCGAGTCCTTGCTGAGAATACGGTAAGGATATTAGACCATTAAGGCCAGAACCGCTAAACGCTTGAGCATCAGATACAGAAGATGACGATGATCCAGGCAGACTAGTCGGAAGGTATTGTCCGTATCCAGAGTAAGTACTTGCATCTGCTTCTGCTACAGCAGATCCATAGTTTACGGGGTTATATACACCTGAATTTAGGTATGGCAAAAGCTCAGAGTTAGGTTGAGCCGGTGAATAAAGATTTCCTGGCGAAGAGCCTTGTAAGTTATTATTTGCAAGTGCTATCGCTTCAGCTGAGGCTTGCGAAACTCCGGGGAGTGGGGAGAATGGAATCAATTGAGGTTTGGGACTGTATGGCAAGATTGCGTTAGATTGAGTGTTAGCATATGCATCTGCGCTGCTGAAACTACCCCCTGGATACAATGGATTGACACCTGGAAAAGAAAGAAGATAAATATATAAGAAGAATGTATGTTGCTATTGTTTTATTCCTTAAAAGCATAACATAGGTTTTATTAATAGTCTCAAACATTAACTAATAGCATGATCCAAATTATTATTCTACAAAAATAGTTGTAAATGTCTCCTTGGTTGAGATGAGCTACACACTACGAGTAATATAAATATTTTGACAGATAATTACCGCAGTTGGGTAGTCTCTTGCACGTGGCTATGACGTAGTTGAAAACTGGCTGACACGTGCACTCACTGCAGTCAATTACGAAAGGCTGGAGCGGCAAGCGGTAGCGGCACCGTGGCTCTGCGGGTTTCAAGGAGGTGGATATTATCTCTTAATATTATGTTTCATTTAAGTAAAATAGCCACTTAGAAAATGAAACATAATATTCAGATGCTAAATCATTTATATGTTATGAAAGATATGTCACGTAATAAAATAATTTTGGACACCTCATACCGCGAAGCGGTTGACGTTGTGCTCTACTCTAAAGACGTCGAAATCATGCATGTTTTAGCTTTTTAACCACCTCTACCACAACCAATTCGCACTTATACGATGATATGAGTAGATGTATTTCAAGAAAACAGATTAAAAATCTATCTTATATTCCTTATATAAAAAAAAAATTCCCACACTAAGTGAGGTCGGAACATCATCCCGTTTCCTTCCACTTTCTTCTATCAGCCGTCATCTCACAGCCATCTTTCTGTTCATAAAAAGTATCATCATTCATAAAAAATATTATTTGAAAAAAAAAAAAAAATACGTGGGCGACCGGGATTTTTTACGAGGTTTTCACGATATCTCCAGAAAAAAATGACGTATAGTGACTTGGCTTTGCTTATTATCTTCAGAATAACATCAATTAGTTCCCTATTTAATTTTAATAACCTAATACCCATAGTTTCAACGGATGGCGCCTAAGATTCTCTTCAGAAAGTAAATCAACACTAGAAGACGTCACTATTAACAACCTAAATCCTATCCTGTCTAACCTAAACCTAGTCTTAAGTGTTTTACCTATTACAAAAACTGCCAAATGTTTTATAAGAGTTACTTTCTTAAATCACTCACCAATGTATTGAATGTTTCTGTATGGAACTGAAAAAAGAGACACATTATTGATTGTCCTCGTACGTATACAAGTAAAAACTTTGAACAGGACTTTATCAAATCCTTACCTAGCTGCGTAGCACCTGAAACAGAAAACATTATGGATATTGAAAAGAAATCTATCAAAGTGCCAATTTATTATTACACACGAACACAAGTGATTTCACTAAATACATTTCGACCGCAGGCAATCAGTGAAATCGTTCTCCCCTCTTGTCACTCCATCGTCGTTTCATTGGGAGGGACTGCCCCGCATGTGCCCGTAGGTATAGTCGCAGCATTTTCATGACTTTTGGCCGTTAAACGCTTGCCTCTGCCAAATTCACTTCGTTTATTTTTTATGACACCTGTGGCGATTCAGCACACCGTTTTGCCAATTTTGACGCTGTCACTCTGTCCGTCATATTTTTTTATTTCACTCGTTCGTTTGTATTAAAATTTTTGTTGTTTAGTCTTATATCGCTTACAGGTTGGAAAATGAGCATTTTTATGTTCCTCTGCGGCATCGTTCTTGGTTCTATAACTAGCCCCGTTACGGCATAGCTATATTATCTCATGTCCGCGACAATTATTTCTCCCTTAGGAGATACTATTTGAATCTTTCTCGCAGCATGTACCGCCATTCTTACAATTTTAATACTGTTCTTTATTTGTGACATTATTCAGAAGTTTTAAAACTAAATTTATAACCTAATAAAAATTTACTGCTCGTCCCCTGTCATATGTTTTAAAAATATAATCAATTAAAGGTACATCTATTTTCGTCATTTACCGATACAAATTGAAAATTATGCTCTGTTCATATCATTTGCGTAATATGTAGCAGAATTTATATCCACTATTTGAAATAAAAGTCTTGTAACAATTAAATTAGTTTTCTTAGTAAATAATGCCCTAATTGCCTCTGGACAAAAGAGGTATTGTTATAGTAGTGGGGCTCATGAGTACAACGTTATTATAATATTTATAGAAATATTGTAATAAAGTTATAACTTACAATCAGGTCTGTTGGCGGGCTTGCAGACTGGTGCAACGAGGTTGCCAAATGTTTCGCAGGTGCAAATTCGGCAACGGTCCTGCGGGTGGATAAACTCTAACCCGATACCTCTATATTCACACACTTGATCTGAAAACAGTCAAATCGATAAACGTGTGGAACAAGCTATCGTACCGCTCTCAAACCCTAACTGGATACACGGAGTTACCTGTGCTGATAACAATTGATCGAGCTAATTAAGATCCTTGGCAACGGTGAATCACCGTACACCTTGTACAAATCTATATTATTCATACTAGTTTAAACTGTAGAGGAATCATTATACGGTGGTAGGGCCACGAGGCACCCTCGGTTGTTGCACGAGTGGGCAGGCTCGTCCGGTTAAGTACCACGACCTCACAGAAGACCGGTGTAAAGTGGAAGTATAATGCTTTCGCGTTTCGTCTGGTGACTGTGGTGGCCGGAACCCAATTTTCAAAAGTTTGTCAATGCATCAGCAACCCTCAAGTATAGCAGATGTCCATGGGCGGCAATATTCACTTAACATCAGGTGAACCGTCTGCTCGTTTGGCAACGTTTCACATAAAAAAAAACGGTTTATATCTATAAAAGTTACTAAGCAAGCCAAAAGTTACAACACTTCGTAACTATTGACTGATGACAACATTTGGGTATTATAAGTATTAAATGGTACGAAGATAAAGTTATAGATTACCTAAAACTTGCAGCTGCTGATTCGCTGAAAAAAATAATAAAAGATCAATTAAATGACGTAACGTAGGTAATAACAGTAGGTTATTGTTAGAAACTTTTGAGAGGCCATGGTGTGTGCACTGAATATGCGACTTTAAAATTTTACCCTTTTCCTTTAAAAGGACTTTATTTATTTATTTGTAGAATAAGTATATGAAAACACTTTTATTGAATTGATACGTAAAGATTATTTCGCCCTTTGCAATTATTGTTAATTGCAATTTATAATGCACCATACCGAGATCTGTGAGATAAAGAAAGGAAGTGTTGTCTGATAAACTATAGAGTAATTTTTAAACCTGAAAAAACTTATTGTGTGGCGTGGCAGCAAACATAAAACTAAGGCTGTTGTGTCTCTATCAAACTTATTTGTTTACATCAAAACTTTTGCCATAGTTTTGAGGCTGTATCAAATTAAATCTGTACTTACGGAGGGGTAAAGGTTGCACCGGCGGGGAAGCTAAAATAACAACAAAATATGCCCATAAAATGAACTGTAAAATTCTAAAACAAATATTATTGTTGTAAAGTATCATTACGTGGCAACGGCAGCTGGTATGGTGGTGGCACGATACCTGAAATTAAATTACCCTCAATGTATTTTTTTGAATACCGACAACAATTTACTGTTACACGGATTTAAGTTTACATTTACAGGTTGGGCTAGATTAGTCTCACGGCCCCTCCGACCGGGTTCCCGCCTTGACGTGGCGAAGGGGCTTAGTAGCCGTGGCTTGGTCACCCACGGCGAAGCTAAGAGGAACCCACACGGGGACGGCCTGTGAAGTAAGGCCGGCCCGAGAGGGCCGCTTCGAGTGGGCTCATTGAGCCCACTCTGGATGCGTGCTGGAGGGTGCAGGGGACAGGTCGATGGTGGTACAGGTAGAGCCACTCTCCCTGTTTTCTGCTACCGAGAAGGAGTCGCGGGGGAAGAGGAGTGTCGGTATTGCGTAGGCCGTACTGCCTATCCTCTGCGACTCGGCGGGGCTGCACCGTTGATGCAGTGGTGGTGGGGCCGCGGGGGGAGAGGAGTATTGGTATTACGATGCGCCGTTCTCCCTACCCTCTGTGGCCGAAACGTGGTGAGCGGTGGAGCCACAGACCAGGTCCGATGGGGGCTGGGTGGGAGGCTTGCTGCTTATTATCACTGGCTCTCCTGGCTCCATGGTCCCGGTCAGCGAACTCGGGGGAGTTCGTTGGCCTTGAAAATGGGGCCGAGTAGGAAGGCACGCTGAATGTTCCAGCGCGTTTTACCAGGAGGAGAGGGGAGTTACTCCCCGGGAGGGGGCTGCTGAGGCGGCCCCCTCTTTTTGGGATTAACTGCTCGATCCGTGCGCTAACTAAATAAGAATATGTGATTGTTTTAAAAAATCTTAGATCCATTGCTCTTTTTCCTTCATTTACATATAAGTTTTCTTATGATGCCATTGATATAGCTATTTTGATTGACCAGATACATCATTTCTTTCTTTTTTGTATGTTTTTGTAAATGACACATCAATGATAGCTCGGTCTTTAAAATAATTAGTTAAACAAATTAATGTTTTATTACGTTGGTTAGTATTTTTGCGGGCTTAAATCAATAAAGTTTTAATCTGACCAAGAGACATTAAAAATATTAAACCTCATTTAACACTGACCGATTTGAAGTCGAAAATATCCATTTTATCTATAAATCGTTGAAAAGTTTTATCTTGAATGCAAACTACCATTGTTAAAGTAATTATAAATTATTGTGGACTGCCAAAATTGTCATAGCATCCTAAGTACTTACAGCACTCGCTCTTTGTGTAGCAGTTGACTTCGATATTGATGATACCCGGAGCATAGAGTTCGGTGCAGACACACTCCTGGCACTCGTCCCACGGATGTGCGAACGGTTGATTTGGCAGATAAGGTCGGCAAGATTTATCTGTTAACATTCTCATTCTAATCTTCAACTGTTACCAACAGCTGGCCCCACTGCAAATTACTCTTTTAGCAGACATTACTTTGGTCTTTCTGACTTTTAACGCTATAAGCCCTAGCAGTAGACAGAAATAAAAAGATTCCTAAGAGATTCGCCAAAAGTATAAAGAGAATTAGTCAGGTCTATAGAGGCGATTCCGTTTGAATAGTCTGCAGGGTCCGGCTTTAACAACGCTGCACGACGTCCTAAAATGATTACATTAGAGTTCTGTTTTCGTAGGGCAATGAAATTTAATATGCAAGCGTCCTCGCATGCAAATCGCATCCGAATTTACTATTATCTCCATTGTAGAATTCGTTTTGAATGTAAAACCATTTTAGTGTTATTCTTAAGCTGATTCTCTGGCTGCTGAATTTCTAGGTATTCTACGACTTGATATGATATAATACAATTTGATGTAATAATAGTTCTAGTTGCTTTCGTTTAGTAAATATAATTTCTTTTAAAAACCCTTAAAACACCTTTAAGTACCGAAATCCTCGCTAATCTCCGTTTTATAAAAAACTAACCTCCTGCATTATTTTCGGAACATCTCAAAGCATTCTACCCATGTGGGTTCCAGTAACACACTGAAAAAACCTCTGATTCGGACTTGTGATAGCCGATTGGGTACAACAAAAGTTTATTCCGTATGGAAACTAATGAAAAAAATAATCATTTGCCATAGCATAGCAAACGACGAACTTGTATTATTGCACTGGTCGAACAAAATCAATTTCAATTGGTATAAATTCTTTAAAAAAATCGTTTAAATACTTGAATACTTACGTGGCGATGGGCCGGGGAGAGGTCCTGGTGGGGGGAAAGGTTGCACAGGCGCCGGCGGGAGAACTGGTGAAGGTACTGCAGGTATTTCAGAATAGAGGACAATCAGAAACGTATATCATAAGATATCTGGTTGATATTGAACATAACTCTTTATGGAAGGCTGTTACAAAAGATAAACTAATATGATATAAATTGGCGAGCTGAGAGCATCAGCTATCTCACTCATAAGACAAAAGTATAAATGTATGTATCCGTTTGACCCATTATTAATGCAGCTGAAGGTTTTAGGAACTTATTGAAATAAATTGTATTGTAAAATAAATAATAATACGAATTAGTGATCAATAATGCATCAGCTGTTTGGTTTATACCTGGCTCAGGAATTGGTGGCATCGGCAATGGTTCTGGCAAGGGCATTGGCAGCGGCATTGGTTCCGGCAACGGCAATGGCATTGGTAGCGGCATTGGTTCTGGAACAGGCTGTGGCAATGGTGACGGCATCGGAGGGATTGGTTGTATTGGTGGCAGCGGGAATGGTTGTGGTGTGACCCCTAGAAAAATGCGTTTTAAATTTATACCTTTTTTTTTTCCTCAGCGTTATTTTTAGATTTTAATTTGTTTACGACAGCGTGGCGATCAAAGCGAAGTCTTTAAAACGGATGAATTTTCTAATGATGATTCTTCAGCATTTTCCAGCTATTTTTTTGAACAGCTTGAAGATGATGCGGAAGAGAAAGATATGCTCTATTGTACATATACATCGCACAAAGGTTTTGGTGTGGTATATCAATTTTACTATAAAGATTCGTCGCCTTAATTCAATAATTATATTAATTAAACGGATTAATTAGGAAAGCTGATTAGTTGTTTCAATCAGTTTATTTTGTAGGAGCTAAAATAATGTCTTGTTCATAACATTATTGTTTATGTTATAATTTAACAAGCTTCGTGGCTCTGCAGTCGTGTAGATTTTTTTCACTGTTTAAGTATTGTAATTGAGCTTGTAAGCTAACTCCGAACCAAATATTATTCAAAACGTCAAACTCATCGCGTTCATATAAGTAAAAACACATCATTATATGTGTATGCTTATAAGATATTGGTGTGATGCTGTTATGCTCTTTACCTTGGGCCATTTGTTTAATTTAGCTCGTGTTGAGGGCTCGCGTATGTCTTACAAATTGACATTTACATCAAAGAACTTACCGCAATCAGGTTTTGCATTACAGAGTATCTCTGGCACCGATAAACTCGAGGTAGTGTTTACGATACATTTGCATGTGGAGCACTCGTCGTTGGGATGTGGGAACGTGACATTCTCGGGGAAGTACTTGCAAAGCGGCACTGTGAGGAAGTACACCGATAAGTAACAACCTGCCTGCACCCAATGGCGGACGGCGGAATGCGAGATACGGGTTCATTCGGAATTTATGCGCGTTACGTGATAAATAGAACTGCCCTTGGTAATATTCTGCTTACACAGAACCCATCAATTTCGAAGTATGGTGATGATAAGTATCTTATTATTGAAATTAAAATAATATGTATAACTAACTAAAGTGTCTCTTAATTTGTCTGTAAAATTGAACGTAAAGTTTATCGCTTATGATATTATTGAGTTCAGTGGGATATGGTTTCAGTTCACTGCAACATGTTACTCTCCCTTGCCTTCGGGCCTCTCTGTTTCTTTACATCATTTCCAGATATTACAATTGATTATTACTTATATATCCACTATATATCAATTTGTTCATATAAAAAATATTTCAAAATCATTCCTAATAAGTTTGGCGATGAGAGACATGAAACATTGAGGGCTTATATAAGAAACAATCTTTATTCTCTATTCGAACATCAAGTTTATAGACGATTCAAACCACAATTCTGGCTACATATTAATTTACATTACACGACCTCTACTTAAATATTATGTGGTGGATGTAATCGATTAAGTTTCTTATGTATTAGGCATACTCACTGGGTACTGGCGTGGGTGGTAAGTTTTCTTGATGCTATAAAAAATACTCTAACTTATACATAGTGTCCTTCGTTATTTAAAATTAAAAAATTGCTCACAAAAAATATGGACACTTACGTATTGGTACCATTAATTCTAGAGGAGCAACTGCAATGTAATAAATATTTCATTAAATTAATACCCAAATAAATCGTTTTTTATGCACGTGTTAATAATTATGATCAAAATGATTTACAGTTTGCCTTCTGTAAGGAATTTTATTAAAATAACATTGAAACTCCCATCGCTTGGGATCGATCTTGTTCTATCTAATTGACACTATATAAATAAGTAGGAAATTCCACATATTTAAACATAAATTATATCGGGGATGTATTTATTTCTGATTTCATATCGGAGACTTATTATTAACTGGGTTTCAACTGTCTTTAAAGTTTTGAAGCTAGACTGGTGAATTTCGATATACAATAAATAACTATCGAGTTGATTACGAATCCCCTCTAAACTATAAAACTATTCTACTTCTTGGCGGTGCAGGCTTAAGTCCCGTCTGGTTGCGACTCTCGAGGGTTATATCTTCATTAAACTCTGCTTCTTGGCAATGGCCGAACAGTTATGAAGGGAACCCATCCCTAACCGCGGGTGTGGTATTATTTAGGGTACGCAACATGTCGAAAGAAAGTTTATGTACAAGGTCAGATCAATTCATAAGGCTTGTAATCTTCGCGCATAAAACTAGTAACGTCGATTCTGTCGAGACAGAGTAAGTCCAGGTGTGTAAAGGGTTGCATCCGTGCCTAAACTCTTTGTTATATACAAAGTATAAAATTCATATTTACTATGTGATTGTATACGAAGAGTCTTTCGCAGTTCCGGGCTGGGCTTGCAGATAGGATGATTTTCGTGGTCATTGCCGCAATGGAGCGTCCCGTTAGGACAATCAACGGATGGGTGACCGTGGTAGCATTTAATTTCAACTGAAGGAGGATGTACTTTCGGTTACAAAGATAATATCAGACATCCAATTGTGTTACAAAATAGCGGACATAATGATTGTAAAACAAATGACCCAAAAGCAAAAAGTTATCGAGTTGCAACTTATGTGTAAATAATAAAGATATTGAATTGATACGTACTTACCCAGTTACCTATAACTTTGAGATATTAATATGAGATACAAAACGTAAGAATAACAATGCTAATAATTGTGAAAATATAATATTTGTGATCACTCACGGCACGCGGGATTATCCTGGCAGACGACCTGGACATCAGGTCGTCCGTACACGTCAAGAGTTAGGTGGCAAACACATATCTGACATGGGTTCAAGGGGCTCTCGAACGGCGTCTCAGTGGGCAGCGGGTCGCATGAAACTGTATCCAAAATTCGGTTGCTTAATAAGAATATTCTTTAAACACAAACGCCTTCAAAACGAGAAAATCAAATAAATAAACTCTACCTTTTATAGGAATTTATCAACAAATAAAACCAAACAATGTTTATAGATAAAGAATAGTTAAGCAGAGTTAGTTAAGTTTTAAAAAATAAATTTTAAATTAAAATAAAAAGTTAAGCAGTAAGTTTTGTTTATGCTTAATTCTCCATTCAGTCTCTCTGCGTATTAGTGGAGTGTTCATGTACACGTACAGTCTAAGAAACATGCGGATATCCACTCGGAAATTACAACATAACGAAAATGGTAATCATTGTAAAAGATAAATTTCTGTGATTTAAACGAAAAAGAAGTAGCTCGTTATAAAATGTGGATTCACTGCCAAAACAAAAGCAATTTATGCATCTTTTTAAAAAAAAATCTTACGGCTGGGAGTATAATATAACATAAGTACCTTGAGGTTCTGGAACTGGTGGAGATGGTGATGGTGGCAGTGGCAATGGGAGAGGTTCGGGCTCGAAGGGCGGTGCCATACACCCAGCGCAGCTGGCGCAGACCGGTCTTAAGTAACCATTCTGGTTGATACACGTACAAACTAGACATTGGTACGCGGAAGACCAGAAGTTATGCATTTCGCCTTCTCGTGAACATAGCAAGATGTTTTCACCACCTAAAATGAGATTTTGGATATCGTTTTCTTCTTCTGTTCTATTAATATTAACAATCTACTCGGTAACAAGTAAAGTACTGGATTGTGGCTCACCAGGTATGTCATGTGGAAACACGTACTCATTTTGTGGTATAACTCTTGTTCTTGCTCCTGCAATGAACGTTTATTAAACATACTTTTATTTATGGGTAATAAATAACATGATAAAACGCGCTATCGTAATTATACAATTGTTACCTGCTAACACATTAGCGAGCGCAGATCCTTGTGCATCTATAACATACATAAGATATCGTTTTATGATTAAAAAAGGCGAAAACGAAATACATGAATTAAAACGGTAGATATCAGTGTTTTTGACGCATTTAAATATTTCAATTGCTAAAATTACTATCATATAACTAACCGATTGGAAAAATTCGGTCTTAATGTCACATATAAGACACGTCATAAATGAAATTAATGCTAATCGAACTGCTCAATTCTTTACTTATTTTAATCAGTTAATAATTTCAAATATTGGTTGTTTTGAGCATATATATCTATACTTACTTGAAAAACCAAAAATTTGTGACTGATCTTGCCCGTAACCAATGCCTTGTGCCAAGGCTTGTGCTTGTGCTAACGATGGTCCATATAACCCCTGCGATTGCGATTGCGATTGCGCTTGGGCCTGTGCTTGGGATTGTGATTGCGCCTGACCCAGTGATTGTGATTCGGCCAAAGCATTTGCTGAACTATAACCAAGTCCTGGACTCCACCCTATACCAGCATTTCCAAGTGCTTGAACCAGTGCATTAGCTTCAGCGGAACTTAAGCCTCCTGTTGGATAGCCATTATTCATCACTGGTTGTCCTTGCAACTGAGGCTGGGCTAGCGCTTGCGCTATTGCTTCTGCGGAGCTTTGCCCTTGGCCAAGGTTGCCTCCTAGTGCTTGTGCGACTGCATTGGAGTCCGAAGAGCTGGAACCGCCGTAACCACTAGCTTGGGCCTGCGCTATGGCTTCAGCATCTGCTTGCGCATAACCAGATCCAATGTTTGGATACCCTATCACATTAGGTCCTAATGAGTATGGCGAATAACCTAAGCCTTGGGCACTTGCGATTGCATTCGCTAACGCTTGGGCTTGAGCATAACTTGAGTCAGAATTGGAATTGTATGGCATATAAGGTAATAGGTTCCCTGAGTTTAATGTATTTCCGTTATCATAGTTTTTTGCTATAGCCAATGCATCAGCTTGAGCTTGGCTGGAACCTCCGGATATCGCTTGAGCATTAGCTTCGGCTGAAGCTGAACCGTATCCTGATTGAGGGCCATATGATCCTGGTAGAAAAGAGCTTGCCCCTGAATCAGCTAGAGCATAGCCTCCAGTGTTTGCACTGCTGGGACGAAGACTCTGGGGAAAAATGCGCCCATATCCTAGCCCTGGATTTAACCCGCCTACTGAATTAGCTTTAGCGCGAGCAGAGCTAAACGCTGATCTCTCTTCTGGATTTAATTCAGCGTAATCTAAATCGGATAGTTGTACTGTTCTTATATCCGAGTTCCCTACTGTATTTGATAATCCAGGATGTCCTTGTGATTCCAATACATATGTGTCGCTAAAATCATCAAGAAGTTCGTTCTGCCCACCTGAATAAAAAATAATAATTTTACTTAGTGTTAATCTAATACTTGAAACATTAAGCTCTCATAACATTTATATTTTGACGGAGGAAAGAAGATCGATTGCGTTATCCGCTTTACTCTAAGCTTATAAAATTTCATAAGATTTCTTTCTATAATAGAGTACTTCTGTAAATGTTTATAAAAACTCAATGTTTTAATAGACCAGTTGAATATCCCCTACTTTCGCATTTAATATGTTATTTTTTTATTAGCTTAATATTATATTATTATTCTTTATGTATTAGGTCTTCCAAAAGTTTTTCAACAACTGGAATAGTTCAGTGTACATCTAATTAAGAGGCAAACACAGGATAAAGAGAAAAATAGCGTGAAGAAAATGTAGGTTCAAATTTATTGTCAATATTATTAAATAAATATAGCAATTCCTTTCAAATCCACAGACTATGTGCCTATAGACATTCTCTATTCATACTATGATATGCCATTTTGCTGATTATAAATCTATTAAAGACTTATATAATTATGTAACTTTTTGACATGTATAATTTAAGTAGTGTGGTTATTAGCGGAACCATTTTTGCACGATACGCCTATAAATGCTTTATTCCAAAAATTTGAAAAATAGACCTAACCTATCTTTGTTTGTTGTGAAGACATTTTAAATTTATAATTGGCATTCTTATTTATTTTTAAAAATTGTTGTAATAGAATCTTACATTAGATACAATCTAATGATAATAAGCTATTTTTTTAATAATAAATAAACAAATATAAAACAAATAAATAAATAAACACCAGAGAATTACCATAATTTTCCCTACTAAAAAAAATACTTTTATTTACTTATTTCTTCATCATTATATTAGTATTTACATGCCTTAGTGAATGTAAATTGAATAACTTCTAAATAACGCCTAAATTCTAAAATAATAATTAATTTTTATCTCACATAAAGGATGCATTAAGTCTTAGTCAAATCTTACTAATAAAAAAAATTTTTACTTTCTTACCATGTTTGAGATCTTGTGTATTTACTAAGTTTTCACCGCTAACTCCAGATAACAGGAAGGCCAGGAAGCAAAGGCTTCCGAATTCGCCCCCCTGCATCTCTTATGTGGTTATAATATTTTCCACGTTTTGACCAAAATCCTACCAAATGAATTCCTGAAACTATTTTCCTTAACTGCAAAAATTTTACTTCACACGAGCATTTATAAGTACATGTCGGGTAACCTTCCATGAAAATCGGTCATATTGATTTATTGGTAATGCTTGATATATTAGTTTTGATTCGTAGATCTTTCGAAACGCTTGGTCTTAATTGGTTCCATCACATCAATTCTCCACATTTCTATGCGAGATTTGTTTTAAGGATTCATTAATTTCTTGATTAGGCTAATTTTTGGGGTTCACAATAAATTCATTAAACAAAGAAAGGTGTATATTGAAAGATTTATTCATATCCCACCAAATTTATTCTAATAGTATGAAGCGTGTACATTTGTCAGATTTTATATGCTGAAGTTAACTAACATCATCAAGTCCGTAGTCTTTGCCGTGGTTGGAGAGAGATCATTTCTAGCATTTGTGATCTGTGAAAAGAAAAGAATTAAAAATAATGATTTATTCTCTGATGAATGAGTTGAGTACTCATCAGCTTAGTAAGTAGACACAAAATAAAAATATCCATAAAAGTCACCTGTCTTATTTAGTTTGACTCTAAGGCTGGAGTCAGTCGTGCTAGGAGATCATCTTTTGGCGTGCTGAGACGTAGCTCTCTCTTCTTCCTACTCTCTTCGCCGCTCTTGAATCCAGCAGCTAGTCCTTGAGCTTGGGCTTGAGATTGAGATCCACCATAGCCTCCCCATCCACCGTTGAGACTTTGCGTTTGTGCTTGGGCTTGTGATAGGGCGTCTCCGCCATACCCTCCTAAGCTAGAAGTCTGAGCTTGTGACTGGGCCTGAGATTCCCCTCCAGACCATCCACCGAGCACACCTAACGGTCCGTAGCCAATGTTGGCTGCATTTGCAGCGGCATTTGCATCAGCGTTTGACCAGCCTCCAAGGCCTCCATAACCTCCAGTTATAGCATTTGCTGCAGCGTTTGCGTCAGCATTGGCCCATCCTCCAAGTCCTCCATAACCGCCAGTTACAGCATTTGCTGCAGCGTTTGCGTCAGCATTGGCCCATCCTCCAAGTCCTCCATAACCGCCAGTTGCAGCATTTGCTGCAGCGTTTGCATCTGCATTGGACCATCCTCCTAATCCTCCCAGTCCTCCATAACCTCCGGTTAGAGCATTTGCTGCCGCATTTGCGTCAGCATTGGACCATCCTCCAAGTCCTCCAAGCCCTCCATAGCCTCCGGTGAGAGCATTTGCTGCAGCATTTGCGTCAGCATTGGACCATCCTCCCATTCTTCCATAACTGCTAATGATAGCATTTGCTGCAGCGTTTGCGTCAGCATTAGACCGTCCATCAAGTCGTCCATAACCTCCAGTGATAGCATTTGCTGCGGCATTTGCATCAGCATTAGACAATTCACCAAGTCGTCCATAACCTCCAGTGATAGCATTTGCTGCGGCATTTGCATCAGCATTAGACAATTCACCAAGTCCTCCATAACCTGCACTGATAGCATTTGCTGCAGCGTTTGCGTCAGCATTGGACCGACCACCAAGTCGTCCATAACCTCCAGTAATAGCATTTGCGGCAGCGTTTGCGTCAGCATTTGCCCATCCTCCAAGTCCTCCATAACCGCCAGTCACAGCATTTGCTGCAGCGTTTGCATCAGCATTCGACCATCCTCCAAGTCCTCCATAGCCTCCGGTTAGAGCATTTGCTGCGGCATTTGCGTCAGCATTGGACCATCCTCCTATTCTTCCATAACTATCGGTGCCGGTATTTGCTAAGGCATTTGCATCAGCGTTAGACAATTCACCAAGTCTTCCATAACCTCCAGTGATAGCATTTGCTGCAGCATTCCCGTCAGCATTGGACCGTCCAATAAGTCCTCCATAAGCTCCAGTAACAGCATTTGCTGCGGCATTTGCGTCAGCATTGGACCATCCACCAAGTCCACCATATCCTTCAGTGGCGGCATTTGCTACAGCGTTTGCATCAGCATCAGACCATCCTCCAAGTTCGCCAATTCTTCTATAACCTCTGGTGACAGCATTTGCGGCGGCATTTGCGTCAGCACTAGACCATCCTCCAAGTCCATCATATCCTCCAGTGGCAGTATTCGCTACGGCGTTTGCATCAGCGTTAGACCATCCGAGTCCTCCATAACCCCCGGTCGCAGCGTTTGCCGCGGCATTGGCGTCAGCGCCCGACCATCCTCCAAGTCGTCCATATTCTCCGGTAGCAGCATTTGCTATAGCATTTGCATCGGCATTAGACCAACCACCGAGTCCGTCGTAAGCTCCAGTTGCAGCATCTGCAGCAGCATTAGCTTGAGCATCGGCAGTCCTGATTCCCAATGCATTTGCCAAGGCGTTGGCTTGGGCGCTGGCAGCAGATTGTCCTAAGTAACCGCCTGAGATAGCATTGGCTTGAGCATCTGCGTTGGCACTACTTAGGCCACCCCATCCACCAGTGTTTGCTTGTGCAATGGCATTGGCTGATGCCGAAGAACGATCCCAAGCTGAAACAAAGTCCTGTATAATTAAATAGTTACTCGATTAAATACATACTAATTATTATATTATTTTAAAGAACAGAATATTTACGTAACGACACAGGTGCAATAACCGGTGGTGGGCCTGAAATATGATACACATAAATCCTTCAATATGTACTTTACACTAATTTTCAATAATAACACGTATACTAAAGATCATGCTTACCACAGAAAGGATCTACAGAGGTTTCGAGGTACACGTAATTATATTTGATCTTGCACACGTAGATCTTGCAGCCACCACCCGGCAAGCGGAATGGTACTAGAGGCTGCTGTCCTCTGCATAAAGGAGCTAAATAAAAACAAATATAAATTATTAGAAGATTAAGGATTTTGATAATAAGACGCTTGTTTTTTAAGGGATATATTTCAGATATTCATGTCATTTCTGTAGTTTGAATGAGTTCCCAGTTCGACGAAGATATTTTTCATCGAGTGATAGGAATATTTGTTCCGTTAACAAAAAATCATTGTTCATTTATGTAGCATATCAATTTTTCGTTGGGCTTTGAAAATAGCACTAAGCTTAAACATGCGTAACCATAATTTAAGAGCGATGTCGCGGATAGTTCCACTCGATTAGGGAAATAACGTTTCACGCTTCATTTCCCGCGATAACTTTTTCCTATTGGTTTTTCAACAACGTCCAAGAAATGTTTCGTTTAGTAGAATTGGATCGATCCGATATGTAAAACCTTAACGTTCATATTTTCACTGTTTTTTTAATTCACAATTAATTAAATTAACAGTAATTATAGTTTGTTGTTCTTGGATTCATGATGTATTAAGTAAAGCATTTTGTTTTTCAAAGTATTGAGACAGCAGCTTCAAACGATTACTTACCGACATAGATGATCACCGGCACGGGGTACAATTTGGTTCCTTAAAAAGAAATGTTTTTGATCTCTGTTCAAATTTTAAAGTAATAGATTAACGAAGATAGATTAAAGCCATTAATACTAGTGTCGAACTGTAGCTGTATATCTTGTTTATAAGTCACGGGTGCAATTAAATTATTGTTAATTAAATATTCTTCCGTATACATTCTATTTATTGCGCATTTTTTCGGTGCGTCGTATGGAGTGAAAACAAATTATGATTACGGGTTCTCTACTTATATATTTCAAAGGGATTTTTCTTTCAAACTTGTTTAAATTAAGGTGTATATTTAAGCCAACTAGAAGAAGAAAGTCTTACTTGTCACTGGAACGGGTACCGGTACCAATCTATCCGCGCCAGGGATAGTTATGTAGCGGTTAACTGGATACGGGACGGGCACGGGCGGCGATGGAACGGGGACCGGCACAGGCACGTCCCTGGTGGGTCCGGGGATGGGCACGGGGATCGGCACCTGAATCGGTGGCGATGGAACGGGTACCGGGATCGGCACCCGTCTCTCCGGCCCCGGGATGATTTCCGGCACGGGCACCGGCACTTGCACAATCCGCGGCGGTGACGGAACTGGGTACGGCCTGTTCACCGGATACGGAACGGGCACGCGTTTCTCGTACGGCACTGGTACCGGGATGCTCGGCCCGCGGATGTAGATCTTCTCAGGCGGTGACGGCACTGGCACTGGTACAGGCACCAGCACGGGCTTCCCCGGCACTGGAACTGGTACGGGGTAGGGACGTGGCGGCCCGGGGATGACTATCGGTGGCGGACCTATTGGGTAGTTGACTCCGTTTTTACCTTATTTACTCCGTTTGTACCTTACATACTTGCAAATTCGCCTATCGAGATGCTCGATGGCATTACGAATAAATTATTTCCACTTGCCACATTGATAAGCAAATATAAATATACGATTAAATTGAAAATTGATTCAAATATTTTTATGCGTACTCTGTAAACATTTAAACGTACGTTCAGGTATATTCCATTGAAACAAATTATTCTTCATTTACTATAATTTTTTAAATTATTCGGTATTATCATTTCCCTTTTGTTAAATCTCTTGCGATGTAAATCAGACACCAAATACATTTTATAAAGATACAGCTTGAACGAGCAAATGGCTCAAATGATAATAAGTGGCATTTACCATACCGAAGAGAAATAATTGCGCGTTGCCTACAATTCGAATCAATCAATCAGCCTATTGCAGTCCACATCTGGACATAAGCAACCTCAAGGGTACGCCATAGTGCACGATCTTCCACTTTCCTCATCCAGCCACTACTAGCGACGTTTCTCAGGTCATCGATTCACCTGGCAAGGGGACGTGGTTTCCATTGGAGAATCTGTCGAGTCCAACGCTCATCGGTTCTACGACAGATTTTACGGTGGTAGGGCCACGCAGCAGCCTCGGCGGTTGCACGAATGGGCAGGCCCGTCTGGGTACGTACCACGACCTCACAGAAGACCGGCGTAAAGTGAAAGTATGACAAATACCTTCGCGTTTCCTCTGGTGAGTGAGGTAGCCGGAGCCCAATTTTCAAAAAGTTGTCAACGCCTCTGTAACCCTCTGGTGTGGTAGATGTCCATGGGCGGCGGTATTCACTTAACATCAGGTGAACCGTCTGTTCGTTTGACAACTTTTCGCATAAAAAAAAAGATGTCGCCAGCCCACTAGCACTTTGGATTATATTTAAGACTTCTCTACCAGATGATTTCGTATGGATCGAAAGTATAAATAATTCTACTACAAGTTGGTCTGTGAGGACTGTTAGGTGTGAATAGGGACCGCCTATCCATCTAGCAGAAGTTGGCGTGCCCACTACATCCAACACAGAAAAACACAATAATACTTACAAGGTGAATCAGGTATAGGCAATGGCGAAGGGACGGGTGGGTACCATGGGCCAACGGGAGGCTCTGCAAAAGAAAATGAAACAACTTACGGTTGCATAGTGGCTATAGGTCTTAAGAATAAAACATATTGGTCAAACTTACTGATCCGTTAAAATTGATTGAATCAATATAGGCCAGTGTTTACCATTATAATCAAAGGGTAAAAAGTACAAATAAAAATTTCTAGAGCGCCAGTCTGTACTAAAAAAAATGTTCTGGGTCTACATACATTCAGGTAAAGGTGGCTAATTTGAATGTAATATATTTCTTTGAATATGTAATGTCAATTAAATGGGTGTATTATAATCCATTATAATTCGATCTAACTAAGAGGGAATCATCCCAACGCTTAAGATGTTTAGCTATGAGTTTAGCGCTGAGAGAAATAAGCACTGCAGTTTAATTTATTATTAGTGTCTGTTTCTAGTTTTGTCTTTAGGTGACAGTTTTAACTTTCGAAAAAAAAAAGCTTAAAGCTACGAACAAATTATATCTATTTATAAAAGACCAACGGATTGTACCACTGTCCAAAATACGTCTCTGCGGGTGACAGGGTGATAAACAGGGGTGCGGGGAGATGGGGTCCGGGGGATGAACGTTTCATTCGATTTACCCTCTGTCACACGCATAGCGGGATCGGTGACATATTTGCGTAGTTCGTTTTCGAATTCCGAAAAATTATAGTTTTAGTTGGACATGAGCGTGTGTGAATAGACAAATTTTATTCCCTTTGTTTATTTATCTATTATGTTTAGGTTATTTGCTCTCATTTATTCTATCATTTCATACTAAATCGACTCGGCAGTTTGGTCTGAATGTTAAATTGATCACCAAATGTTTTGTTTCTTTCAAATCTCTTCCCATCTTGAATAAATCTGTTTGTTGTGTCTATTTAAGCTTACCTGGGATAGGTATCGGGTCCACAGCTGCTGCAAAAAAATTCACTTGGTTTGTGTATGATTATTAGAAATAATGAGGAAACGATCGATTTTAATACGTTATTTTAATTAATATCGGTTTTAAATATTTTTTGTTATATAAATTTCAAAGATTACTGGAATATGATATTTAGTGGGGTAGCTTATAATTTGAAAATCTGTTTGACGGTTTTCATAGTATAGATTTGCTGATGTATGTTAAGTGGATCGACATATATATTAATACATATGTATATATACACATCTATCCACTTTACTTTAATTAAAGGAATGTATGTTTCCCAAATTAATACCGATTAAATTGTTTTAAAAGGGGAATTTTTCTGAAACAAATTGATTTCAATCCTCTTAGTTTATGCTGTTGCTAATAGAGTACAGTGCTGCGTGGGATCCATAGGTTCGATACCCGCTAGAGATAAGTATTTGTATGACCTACACATAATTCTCTAAGATACGGCTTAGTCTACAAACAGTTTTCGTTTATAAAACCTATACACAAAAAACTAAATTCTGTGCTAGCGATAACGGTTAAAACAACCTAGATTGTAATAAGACAAGTAAGTAGATTTTGAAAGGTGAGTGCCATGTTCAGCAGTGAACTATAACAGGCTGAAATGATGATGATGAGAGCCTTAGTGAAATGTGATTCTTGACTTTGAACCATAGTACTTACGGTCTGGGCAGTTGCTGCAGGAGGCGCATTTGGGGTAGAGATTCCCGTAGTAGGAGAAGCATGCGCAGACGAGGCAATCGGTTTCCGTGCGCACGTGGAACATGTCCCCTACTTGTTGACATTTTGAGGCTCCTGTGGTACGGCGTAAAGTAGCTCTTTGGATAAATATAATTACTCAACGTTTTTACTGTTCTTTAGATCCTACCGCCGCATATTGGACGCAGATTTCAGACATACTTTTTGGTTAAACATTAGGAACGCATACGAGACCACTAAATAAATATTCACTTTGCATACATGTGTATTCAAAAAGTACATATGGAAAATCTGAATTGAGGAAGAACTGAAACTCACCCCATTCAACCCCATTGCTCATTCCCAACACCCCCCGCGCAGACCACTTAATAAATCTAATCTTGGACTTTCAGTTCATTCTAGGATGTTGGAAATAAGCGAGAAATATTTCCAATATTTCAAGCTTTACATACAATATTATAATTATCATTAACTGGTGCTTGACTCCCAGCTGCTCGTAAGCGGTGATGTAGAAATAAAAATAAATATGTAATAGAAAGGATCAAATAATTTTAACGATCATAGCTTTTTCACTTTGTTTTTAAATTCTAGAATCGCTAAATTCCCGATTTGGAATACTTTCCAACGTTTGTGGTCATCTGGCGGATTTTAACGATGTGTAGTATTTTGGTAAAGAATAAAATTAAATCATTAACCTTTTAAATACTTTAAACGATTGTGAACACGCTCTAATTATGGCCCACGTTTAGTTTCAGGCCTTAAAAATTACAGTTTCTTAGTCATATCAATCCGTAAATAAACCGTAGTGAAATTGATGAAATCTCCTATAACACGTTGATTCAGACTGAAAAAATGACAAGTTGTTGTTACATTAGCTATAAATTAATTGGTCAACTTACTGGGTGGACCGATGTCGTAACCAGGTCCTAGCAATTGAGCTTGTGATTGAGCTTGTGCTTGAGCCTGTGCTTGAGCCTGGGCTTGAGACAGTCCTTGAGCCAGTCCTTGAGCCTGTGCTAGCGCCTGTGCTTGAGCCTGAGCTTGAGCTTGTGCTTGAGCCAGTCCTTGAGCCTGTGCTAGCGCCTGTGCTTGAGCCTGAGCTTGAGCTTGTGCTTGAGCCAGTCCTTGAGCCTGTGCTAGCGCCTGTGCTTGAGCCTGGGCTTGAGACAGTCCTTGAGCCTGTGCTAGCGCCTGTGCTTGAGCCTGAGCTTGAGCTTGTGCTTGAGCCAGTCCTTGAGCCTGTGCTAGCGCCTGTGCTTGAGCCTGAGCTTGAGCTTGTGCTTGAGCCTGTGCTTGAGCCTGGGCTTGAGCCTGTGCTTGAGCCAGTCCTTGAGCCAGGCCTTGAGCCTGAGCTTGAGCCTGCGCTTGTGCTTGCGCGTCAGCGAAAATATCAACAAGCCCAGATCGGTTCTCGATTGCTAAATTCCCATAAATTTAAAATTATGTAATTAATGTAAATTAGATAATACCTTCTAACCACATCTCATTTGTATTTTTTTTATATTAATCCAAAATAAGAATCATCGTAACTTCATCGACCGTTGGTAATAAGAACAAGAATTAATCATTTTTGCTTTCATAACGTCACTAAGATAAATGAATAGTAATATTCTTTGAGAAAGGTTCCCATGATACTATAGGCGATTGTTCGAAATTTCCGAAGATTTAAATATTTTCATGCATTAACAACAACACGGTTCTAAGGATTATAAAGTTGTTAAAAAATCGCTATAACACATTTCTTTCGTTAGTTGTAATATCAAGGGGCAACCTTGCGGTTTTTACAATAAAAACCTGTCCACAAACGATGTTCAGCATATTTTCAATTTGATGAACAAGAATAATCTGCGTTTATTTTTCGCCAGAATATTCTTCTAAAACTATTGAAAGCAAGATCTGAATATGATTCTACTGTGGGCACTGGTGTTGAACCAGGCGTAATAGTAGTTAAGTGCAAGCTAGTTTACAACAAAAAAGAAAGACAAGATCTTACCCTCTGGTAGCGCGAAGGCCGCAGCCAAAAGGCACCACAACCACACGACCTTTAGTAGCCACATCCTCACGAGATTCGGTTAGAGCACTCGACCCAGTGAGCGCTGCCCACTGAAGATGCCTCCCCCAACCAGTCGACCGATATTTAACTCGCATTCTGTAAACGCGTTGATAGGTGTAAATAATCAATTCACTTATTAAAAAAACGACGATAGTGCTAACCAGCCGTTTCGAAGAAAAATTAAAGTCGCGTGAACGATTTCATTTAATTTTAATCACCCATTACGATATATGTTTATTAGTTCGTCACGTTACACATTAAGGTTGTAAAAATCCATGTTGGTTCTTTTTTATTAACTCAAATTTTCTCTCTTCATGAGATACAGCCTGTGACACGTCTCTCAGACAGACAGTCAGCGGAGTCTTAGGAATAGGGTCTTTGGGTACGGAACTCTAACAATCAAATGGTCTTTAACAACTCTATTGGGCATACATCATATAATTAATTACCGAAACTCACAAATTATTATTAAATAACTTAAAAATTATTACATTGATCTGATTTTATCATGTTTACATAATTACAACATATCCAATTGTTATATTAAACTTAAGTTTTATTGTTATCGATTTATGGTATTCAATGGGTAAAGGTAAGCATATTCAGCACAAACAACCAAATGATAACACAAAATGTTTGGTAGTTGGTTTGAATACTGTTTGATTAACTCATAAAATCAATATTTAGGTAAAATCAACTTAAATTTATTGAATACAGTATGTTTACAGTTCAATTTATGTAAGTTACCTTCAGAAGGATATTTTTATACCGTCTCATTTAAGGAAATTCGTTATGCTTAGGCGATAAAATTTGTATGTAATGTGATTTAATATAATAACATTTCTTCCATTCCACTTTTTTACTACCTACCAGTTCTAAATAAAAACGCGAGTGGCCCAAGAATTCTTGCCATTTGCTAGTCAACGGTCATGAATTTCACAGCTCAGATAGTTGGAATCAAAGTTGCGTCAGCAAGCACAAGATATTTTAACTTTCACAATGAATTTATTTTTCAAGATTTTCTGGTTCACATCCACCTAAGTTTGTTTTAGTTAATTAAATATAGCTTATAGCTGCAGTAGCCGATTACATTGTATATCAACGCTGTGTTATATTGTTGCCATGAAACATGATATATTTAACAATATAGTTGCGTAGACTTATTCGCTGTGGCTGATTACAGAAGTTAATGAAATTAAGTTTCTGAAATCAATTAGTATTAGCATTTCTATTTCATATGTTCAACATTTCCAAAATCAGTGCCAATGCCAGTAATTGTTTAACGTTATAATCATGGTCATGTGTCTTTAATATTTGTCAAACTTCGTTCGTTAAATTAGTAATCCCACATTTAGACCGAAATCGCATAATTATAGTGATGGTACTATTAGAGTAATATTATTGATAAATTAAATTACCAACCGTGCAGTTAGCATCAGAAACCTAAATCTTTCTTCAAGATTATTGAGTATGATTATACATTCAGGTTTCGATTTTTGATATCTCTCTCTTAGTCAGGTATACAAAAAAATTGAAGAAAAGCCGATCTTAAGCCGATCGTGGAAATGAGGATAATTCTATTAAAAATTAAGTCTCAAAGAGCACATAAGTTAAATAGCACAAAAAGAATATCGGACAGGGATTTGTCGCACGCAGATTTCAAAAGCATACAGCCCACGATCGACAGACATATCAAATGCGCGACCTCAAAGCCTCACACATTTCGCCATAAAAAATTATGAATTTACGGAATTCATGGAATCGTTGGCATCGCGGCCGCACTTCTAGCCGAGTTATGCGCAATATGAAAACCTGAAACAACAAAAACACGAGTGGGGGCCACAATGCCCCGAGCTCGCACCGGAAGCGGTGCTACCTGCCGGCGCCGGAAGTGCGGCCCACTAACGACGCTTCCAGTGCCTTCTCTGTAGCGCTTTCGATTCTATGCTTTGTTCATATCTGAAGACTATAGATTATTGTGGCTTTTGTTTAAGTAACATTAACAATTACTACCTATATAATAATATTAAAATGCTCTTGAGTTCTGCCGTTCCCAAGGTATTTGGGCAAACGTCGATTAACACGAAATTTAAAATGTCCATTTTTGTTTCGCGCTGAATTCGACCTGTGTCTTCCGGATTTGAATTTTTTTATTTTATCTTGATATACCTACTAGCACGAAAAACAAAATTAGCCTTAAGATAAAGATTTAAAAATAATCTATCTCAGCTCTCTGTAATTCCAAATCACTATTACAACAGAATTAACTTGATCCCTGCTCAATACTGCGCCAATGGAACATCGTTACGAAAATCTTACATTTGTCTATAATAATTGTAACGTTTCGCTTTTCCGAGTGACGTCAATCAATTTGAGTACCCCCACACTATGGGTACACGAACAAAGGGAGCAAATCCGGCGAGTGACTCATTCAATCCATAACTTGGGCGACAGTGATTGATTAAGCCGACCGCGGCTGCGACAAATCGCCGCCGCGACTGACGGCCGCGCGGCGACTTACGACGTCGTCAAAGGAGCACAGTACCAAGGTGCTCTGTGCTCCTGGTACTTTAGCAGTGTGACACAGAGCAGATTGAAGTCACCTTGACGTCCAGCTCCTCGTAAACTTTCGCATAGACTGTGACATACAAACTATTAAATCAGCAATTGTAACGAACAGCAGAGGACGACCAAAAAGACAAGAATTCTAAGCTTCTTGGACAGAGCTCTTTAACAGAGCTCGTAAAATTGATTAGACGGTGATCAGCGCAGTGTAATTCTTATGGAATAGAGCAGCTGATGTCACGATGAAAATCATTAATTCATTTAAAAAATTAAAAAGGAAACATAACGAAAAAGTATTTTTAAGCAGTAAATTTTTAATAAGTGGTGACGAGTAAAGTTTAACGGCTACATTATATTATAGGAATTGATAATATCTTCTTTTTAAATAAAATGAAGTTCTGCTTGTTCTCATTGATGCCAGTATCTTCTCTTCATATATGTTTTCCTTCTTTCAGGTAAATGACAGTACGAATTATTCAACTCGCTGATGCAGGTCAGATTAAATAGATTAATATTAGTGACGCGTTCAGATCACATCTGACGGTGGGAGGCAATGTGTAACTAACTTAATTCGCTTACCTCATAAGAGGGTTACGTATGACTTTTGCCTCGCACTTTATGCAGAGGTCGAAATCTACCTCATTGCTACATAAAATTCTGTACTAGTTTTAAAAACAATCCTCGGGACTTCTCTTGATCTTTGATATAATTTAGTCTTTCTAGTTTTTGTGATCCGCTCGCGTAAACATCATATGGTATTGCGTCTTGTTTCAGGACCTAATTTTGTGTGTTATATTGTCGTTTATCATGGGATTAATTAATGACCAAATAAAACATTTGATATGAATTAAAGTGTCCATATCGGGCATAGTACGAGATCCGGGAAACAATTTCAACGGTTCTCTGCCGTGATTTTGACGTTATTGCAGTATCTAGCGCAGTCTGTTGATACCTAAATGTGAGGTGGTTATGTGGAGCGCGTGTAACGACATCTGCCGCCGGGCAGCGGAAGCCAGCTCGACTGGAACCTACCGTTCGCCTATAGCCACTGAAATCCGTAGCCCCTACTACTTGTAGCGCGCCGCATATTGAAATAAGACATATTTATAATCTAGGAGAAACGACACTACTAATGTTTTGCTGTTGTACGTTTGTGGAACTCTACAAGTAAAAGTAAAAAAGTGCCTAGCAAAATACAAAATAAAATTTTTAGTACATTCATATAGGCTAATTTTTAATATTTGCCTTTACTTATCATAAGTGGAGCAAATGTATTATTTTTAACGTAACCTAAACTGGTGTTAGATGGTCTAATAGAGCTTCCTTACTGACATTAATGTCGTCTGTCCATAAAACTGTAATTTAGGTATGTATACTAACTAAGATTACATTAACACTCACCATTATTTAACTGGAAAACTTAACATTGGCCAGATCATTAAAAAAAACTATACACTATACACGTGAGTCTGCGTCACAAAAGGTAAATATGTCATCAGTTATCTATACTTAATATAATAAAGCTGGAGAGTTTGTTTGTTTGAACGCGCTAATTTTTTTGCATTTGATAGCTCAACAGCACCCAATGTTTCTAACTCTTTGTAGCATTTACGGTCTCAGGAAGGATTGAGGTGCCTAAACAAGTAAATGTAGCGATCGTCAGCTAGGAAATATTTAATTTTACAACGCAGCAGCAAAAGTTAAAGATGTCAGTTTACACTATTTCAGTTTGAAAGTGTTTTTATCACTGCCCTATTGAATATTCCAATTTAGAAGCAAACCATTAGTAATGGACGAATCGGGTGGGAAAGTTGAGCGAAAATGCACCTCGCATTTTTGGTAAGCCGCTAAAAATGTACAGCGATTTTCTCGCAAGCGAAATATAACTCTTTCACCCCCACTCAGAGTCCTTTCAATGTATTTCAAGTGAGATAGATATTTGAATAACCTACAAGCTGTGCTAGCCTCACAATAAGCGTACGTAAGTTTGTTCATACTTTGCAAAATGTTCGGCGGTTGCAAGTCAAAGTTGAAAATTTGCGGGTTTATTGTTTTCGTATAGATGTATTCGATATTGAGTTGGATATTCCGTATTGTATTCTAAAATATTTTATTAGTGTGCTTAAAACTTTTAGATTGTCTACGTCTGTTTATGCAAACATTTTTTCGATTAACGAATAATAAATTGGTTTCACTGTTTCATATCAAAGTATTTCAATGATATGTTTATAACCTGAAAGATAATATTGTACAAAAATGGTTTCGAATTTGTTATGTGTGGCTTTTATTGTTACATTCTATTGTCAACTAAAAAGTAACATTCTATACAAATGTCAAAATGCTGGGCAAAGGCCTCCTCTGTAAAGGAGGTACCAGGGCATAGTTCGAGACTCCACTGGGGATTGGCGGACTTCACATATTTTCGAAATATTTTTTTTT